CTCAAAGTTTGGGCTATTTACCCATGAGCTCATCACAGTATCGGCCTCCGGGTCCAGGAGAGCAGCTGCGTAGCACCGAACCTGGAGGCTTTCACACAGTGTTAGAGGAACAACTGCTCACACGTCTGCTGTCTGAGGCACAGGATCATTCCGATCGCGTGAGCGAGGCCAGCCCGCCCAGTCCATCCCTATCAAGACACGACGTTGCAGGAGCAGTACAGACTGACGCTCTAAAATCGAGTCCTGGGCAATCCTTCAGTCCCGCTGCTGGCATGGGATCGCTACTTTTGACTACCGTTCTAGGAGAATGGTCGAGTCGCCCCGAGGTTGGAGGATATTTTCCCCCTTCTGAACCACATGAAAACGAATGTAGTCCCTCGCCCGAGGTCATATCCGATCCCTCCTGCACATTGCAGAAGACCTGGTCCTTCAGGTCTTCTGCGTTCATGAAATCGCACATTGTGGCTTGGATTTTGGATCATATTCCCAGTCTCCTGAGTCATGCAGCCGCATTCTTCCTGGGCACTGTCGTTTCCATGTTGTTCCGCAAGCGGAAAATGCTTCAGTTACCCTAGGCATACCATCAGTGATGCTGACGATTACGACGATGATCTCCGCATTCGGATGCTACCTGTCAATACAAGAAATCCCTATCTGTGGACTCTCTCGTCAATCGTAACGGAATCACACAGAGGCATCATTTACTCATTTACTCCTCTTCCCTTCATCGATCCGGACTGGCATCATTTTAATCTCTCATTTCCTTTCTGATCTGATGGTCTGGTCAGCATTCGTCCCATTTTGTTGTTTCATCATGTGTGCGGGTATGCAAGTTGTAATCCGGCTTGGTGCTATAAATCAATCTGAAAATTTGTGTCTGCTTTATTCGAAGAAAAAAATGGTGCATTATAATTTGTTCACTGAAAGTTCGCGAAAGAAAAGACCCCAATTTGTTTTCTGCACACGCTCTTATTCTATCACACCCATTGGCAAACGTATAATTGATTCGCCTCCTCCCGCTCTCGTATTTGCCTCATTTTGTAATTGATCATGTCTTGATGCCGTTTCGTGAATGCGCTCCAATTCTTCGTTCCTATTCATTCTTCACGAACATTTCCATTTCTACGACCGGTATCATCGCCGGACCCATAATCCATCAGTCAGATCTGTCGAATCATAGAGATTTCGATTCCTGCCACAACTACATCATTTTTTTAAGTCACAGGTTTTCTTGAACTCCAGATCGTTCCTATTTCCCGTCATTCAACTGACTATTTGATCGGTTGTGTGTGTGTGTGTGTGTGTGTGTGTGTGTGTGTGTGTG